GAACCGCTGAACTGCAGATAACAGTCAGCTGAAGTGGCCTACAGTACTGCACCCTAACCACTGCGCCACCTCGGCTCTTAAAATAGATTAAAGATTACATTATTTTAGATTAAAATATGCTGCTTTTATTTGGATCACAATTGACTGATTCAATCATTCTCCATAGCAATTAATTCAGCCCTGGACAAAAGAACAACATGACCATGAATGACATTTTTGAAGTTTTTCCAGCTGCCACCAGAGTCCAGGAAGCCACTCTGGCTTTGGAGGGGAAAAAAAAAAAACAGTAGCCCAATTGGGGTTGCTGTCACTGAGGACAGAGAGAATTATTTAATTTATGACTTTGTGTCCTTCTATGATGGTGAGGTAAGGGAGCCACAAAGCAAGAAGAATGAAAGTAGTGATAAAATCAAGTTACAAATTGAAAAGAGGGATTATAAAAGGACTACATGACATAGACAGTGTACAAGATCTAACATCTGCTTCTGTATCAAAAATAGCTTAACCTGCTACCGCACTTGTCTTTAATCTGCTTTTAAGAAGGCATCTGGACTTTAGGCACATAGGCACAATATAAGTGTGTCTATTTTGGTGACTAGAATATGGTTTAAATGTTTAATTGTTTGCTTTTATTGATATAGCTAGCTGTGTGTATATACTATATATGTAGTTGGTAAATCTAATTCAGCTGGCAAGAGGAAGGTGCAACAGCTACCTAGGATGCAAAAGAGATACTGTACTATAGATTGGTATTGGGATTATTAAAATTTTCAAGTTTATTTCCTTCTCTTGGGAAATAAATGAATATAGGGAAAATATTCAAAGGGAGAGTTGCATAGATGCCATTTTGACTGGATTATCAGGTCAAGTCATTAATTATATTTGTAAAGTCAAGCAATGAGTGCAAGACAGTATTCTAATATTTTTTTAAAGCCAAACATACAAGACAAGAAATAATAAAAAATAAAAACCCCCACAAATAATGAATGTAGTGGTCTGTGGTCCATCTTCTCTGTACAAGAGTTTTGGTTCCTGGCATTTGGATGTGCTCAATAATATTGTAGACCATGATGATATTGGGTGCATGCTATTAAAGGACTAATTAGAGACAACATATCCATTTTTTGGTTTAGCATACACAACCCTTGCTTTGATTTTAATGATCCACATTTGTCCATTTAATGTTTTAATGGCCCAAAACTAGTGACTGAGATGGAAACTATAGTGACCAATGATGCAGAAGCAAATAATTTCACAAAGGTAATGGAATAATTTGTCTCTGTAAAAAACAGTTATCTGGCTACCTGTTTCTGCTATCAGTAGTAAATTTGAAAGGCAGCTATAAGACTGATAGTTATTACACTAGAAAAAATGCAGCTATCCCCATCCCCAAGCAAATGCTTTTATTCTTATATTAAAGTAAACCAAAGCTTGCATTATATCCAAGAAAAAACCCTCCTTCATCATGTTATTCTTTCATCCCTTTCCCTCTTCTGCTAGGATTTCGTCAAGAGACTTACTGTTGCCTCATCAAGGGGATATTCACACAGTTGGCAGCAGCTACTGCTGCAAATGGGACCCAACGTGCCACAAGGGATGGTGCTCTCTGTAAGGAAGAAGATAAAGCAATAAGGAGCAGGCTTAACCTTTCCAAGAAAAGGTAAAAAGAACTGGTAGCAGTACTATGGAGGCCACAGGCAATGTGGGCTTCTATTGCACTGACATAATTCTTGTAATCCCACATTAAATTTGTCCCTTAGAACAAAGTGTGCAACCTGCAGTTCCAAGGATACAAGAATATACCCATCCTTTCAATGTCACAGTTTAGTACTCCACAACCCCATCAATAAAAGTCATCACCAAACTGTGTGGAGTTTTTTTAATATACAAGAGAAAATTACTACATATGTGAGAAACAACCTTTAACTGTGTTTAGTTTAATTAATGAAAATGCAAGTTAAATAAAATTAAATTTAGATGCCTTTTCAAGATCATTACTATCCTTGAGTCTAACCCCTGGTATGTCAACTCAAAAGATAAGGGTGGTCCTTAGCCTAAAAAGCACATGGTGCTTACAATCTTTGCAGTGGTGAAGTAAGGAAGAAAGAGAGAATATATTTTACAGCTCAAAGAAAACTTTTAGAGATAGAAGATATTCCACTCCTCCGCACTAGGGATTTTGAAGAAAAGAATTATGCTCTTTACAGGTAAAAGTTCCTACAGGAAGAGGCCAGGGATGCCATCTCACATTTTTGGACCAGCTGCCCCCTTGTGGTTAAAATTAGTAGCATTTTAGAGTTGTACCTTAGTGTAAAGGTTGAGTCCCACAGCAGTTGCCAAGGCAGTGCTGGTAGCTGTGAAATAAGCCACTCCAATTTGCCTAAATTATCCAGAGGAATATAAAATAATAGGAGTTGTGGCATTAGTCATTTTAAAACTGCAGTTGTGTAATAAATAGTCCTATCATAAATTTTTAAAGGCAAATGTAATCATAGCCCTTATATTCTTTTCCTTAAACAAGAATAAGCTTTGTGAAAAACTTCTTCTGTATGGACTTGTGGCTTCTCATGAAAGATCTACGATATAAAGAGATACATGTTTTACACATCTAGTTCTGTGACATACCCAGGAAATAAAGAATGGCCATGAAGTCGAAGTAGACAATGTAACAGAAAAACCAGGTTAACCTATGACAGCTGAAAATCAAGAGGAATTTGGCATTGCCCTTTAAGATTAATTTTCTTAAAAAGGATTAAATGTGTTTGTGAGCTACAGATGTGCCAGACTCCTTCTGATACATGAAGTCACAGGTAATTCTATTGGGCTGAGCATAAAATCCTTTATATATAGCCACCTCCCCATTTCAGGTCCCCTTCCACACTTATCCCACTCCAGCTGATATTCAGAAATAAAGTTCTGTGTTGAATAAACCATGAAAGCTACACACAGGAGCAGCAAAAGTAGATCTATCTTGATTGTCCCTTTCCAACAGTTGACTATTTTCTATTCCCTGAAGTCAGTTCTGGAAATACTATGCATCAAAATGATAAAGTGCAATGTCTAGCAAAAATTGACCATATACACAGTCTACAGTCCAAGACAATATTTCCTCATATGATTCCATAGAGTGCTGTAGATCAAAGTTAAAGCAAAGTCAGCTAATTGGATCATAAGGAGCATTGGATGAAAACTCTATGCTATCAGGTAATCATGAAGAGACACTTACTTGACCGAGATGGGGCTAGCTGCATTCCGGTTGGTGTAATTCACAATGGCATTAAAAGACTGATTTACCCACTGCCAAAACACCACAGCCGGAACTGTTCTGTAAAGAAAGAAAAAAGTGAATTCCTGCATCTGAGTTGGTACATGTGTCTTCCAGATAGCTGAATGTGACAGAACCAATGTTATCTCTCTTCTGTACCCATGTATTATCCTTGATCAACCACTGATTTTATTACTATTATAAAAGTTTCATGATAAAAACCCTACATCATAATCAAAAACTGTCTATTAAAATGCAATTAGAACAGCTGAAAAGATCCTAGGTAAACAAAGCACAAAGTTCCACATTAGTAAAGATGAAAAAATAGTTGAAGAAAAAGAATAACAAAAGAACAATTAGAACAAAAAATATAACAGTTATAGAACAATAATTAAGCATTGGGGGGGGGGAAATTACAGTCGATGGCTGGATTCTCACAACATGCATGGCTAAAAAGTGGCAATTTTTGGTCAAGCATATCGGGTAAACCTAGCTAGTATGATGAATATAAGCTTGACTGGCAAATGTAAACATAGGCCACTGGGTATACCGAGAAACTGCAAAGCATTGGGAAACAAAATCTGGCTCCACTTTGTGAGACTGACTAAGTAAATTGTGTTGGTGTCTTAGATGAAAGCTATGCAGTCTCAACATTTCATTTATCATATAACTTCCTGTATACATTTTAGGCTGTATAATTCTTTACCATTAAAAAGCTATTTTCTGAAGCCATTCTGCCTTCAGAAAAGCTGTTAAAACCTGGCTATTCCGGCAGACCTGGGGTTGTTGACCTCATTGTTGAGGTCCAGCCCCGATCATAATGAATGTATGTGTGTTGATTTTAACCTGTTTTTATTTTCATTTTATTATTATTTTTTTCCTTCGTTGTAAGCCGCCCGGAGTCCTCCAGGATTGGGCGGCCTATAAATCGTACAAATAAATAAATAAATAAATTACATGGAGGTGGTGTTTTAAGACATATAGTGTCCTTGGCAACAATTAAGTACTATAGCATTGCCATTTTCTGGATTGACTTTTTTTCCACTCTGGCTGATAGCCTGAGTATTTCTTTGTGGTCTACCATTCAATTCCAGCTTCACGGGATCAGTAAAAGTCAGCTACATTATTGCTAGACAAATTCATAACTTGTTTTGTGAAATAAAGTTGGCTGCCTGATTTTTTAATTCCTTTGAAAGTATTTGAATATTGGAAAACAAGAGTGTGTATGTTTTAAAATAATGGAATGTGCTGAAATGAGTAAATTGACATTTGAAATTAGAGAGCAAGAAGATGTACAATTTTATAAGGTATGGGATTTGTTTTATCAATGGCTAGATTNCAAGTGACAGCAACATCAGGAAAAAGAAGTGTGAGAAGTGGAGAAGTATCAGGGCTGAAGGAGGAACTGGAGAGGAAGCTGAAAGTAATGTTCAAAGTGATTCCAGTGATGGTAAAAGCTCTTGGGACTTGATTGCTAAGTTGAAAGAGTGGCTTCAGCAGATCCTAGGAAGAAAACTGGAGCTCTCTGTCCAAAAAAAGTGCAGTGCCAGGAATAGCTGAGATACTGCACAGAAGTCTCACATCTCTGGCAGAGGAACTTACTGTGTCCTTTACGTCATGGCTATGAGACAGCCACAGAAAATTTTGTTCTAGCTGAATGCAACCAGTTTGGTTTTGTTCACTTGGAGAGGAAAAGTTGAGAGGTCTGACGCCTGCAGGCACTGCTTCAATATCATGCTCCTATCCCATAGTCCAGTCTCCAACTGGAATTCAGATCTGTCCTTTAACTTACTGTTAAAAATTGAACTTCTTTGAAACACCTTGAAGAATGAAATAATGCCTTTGGTTTGTTATCGATCCTGTTATTGCTAAGTTTTTTTATTTTACATTTTTAAAAAAAATATTAGGCATGGTCAATTTTAATTTTCTTGTACTGTTAATTTTCACATGGCTACTGTTAATTACTGGATCTCCCTGATTCATAGCAGGTTTACTAAACAAATACACATATATCAGAGGTGTGTTCCTACTGGTTCGGACTGGTTCAGCTGAGTAGGTAGTAACTTGGCCGGACACTGCCGTGAACTGGTTCTATCAGCAGCACTGATAGAACATCTTGTTTTTTGCTTCTGCACATGTGCAGAAGCAATTTTTTTACTACTGTGCATGCACACGAAACACGCAACAAGTGCGTACACAAAGCATGAAGCACATCCCTGAGCAAACTGGCAGTAACAGAAGCCGGAACCCACCCCTGACATATATGCTTTTAACTTTTACTTAACTTAACTTATTGATTTTAGCTTGTTTTTTTCATTATAAAACCATTATATTATAATCATTGTTCATGTATAAATGCTTAAACAGTTCATGACAAAATAGATTGATCCTATTTAGAATGTCAAAATATATGACTAGTCATTAGAAAAGAAGCATTCATTATGATATGCTTATGACTGAGCCTCGGTGGCACAGTGGTTAGAGTGCAATACTGCAGGCTACTTCAGCTGACTGCCGGCTGACTGCAATTTGGCAGTTCAAATCCCACCAGGCTGAAGGTTGACTCAGCCTTCCANGGTATATAAGTCTAACTGCTAAGATGTTAGAAAAAGCTACTTTTTTCTTTGTAGTTTTTAGAAATCTGGATTACACTATAAATATATTTATTTGTCTTCAAAGTACCCAATGACTAAGTGCCTTAGATGTCATCTCACATTCTTCACTAGGTATACAGTAAACATAAAACCCATATAAAAGGTGCTGGGCAAGATATGAAGGTTTATGACAATTCAAAGACAAGAATTGCAAGTCATCACTGCTTTGTGCAAATGCTTGACTTAGATATTACTGTAGTAGTTCCTTAACTTTCTACCGAGGACAGAACAACTCTTGATTTGAAAGTGATAAGCAAGTAAGGCACATTATGTATCATCCATCCTTGATCAGCTGCCACACTATTATTCTGTGGTATTGTGTTGATTATTTATTAATTTAGACAAGTTTGATGATCAGAAACAAATAAAAGCAAAACTTTATTCTCTAAGCCCAAACACCCAGCAGAAAAGTAACAGGGCTTCAAAATCTTCTCAAAGGTCAAGAGCAGAGTTGGTATTCAGTCGGTTCGAACAGGTTTCCCCCAACCGGTAGTGGAAATTGCGGATGGGCCTGCCCACCCACCACAGCTCTATGCCATCCTATTTAGGCATGTTTTTGAGGTTGGGCGCATGCATGGAAGGTGCTGTGGTCAAACAAGTGCAACAAGTGAATCCCAGTAAAACAGACAGGAAACAGTAATACAATGAATCAATTCTTGCTTCAAATGCAGAGGTTTATTACATGAGCAATTTTTAACATGACAGCCATCTTTATTTACATCAACTACTTATTGCAACAAGGTCCAGAGAAGCTAGCTCAGTCCAGCAAGGAACAGCTACTGTCAGAGGCCATGATTTCTTCCAAATATGGTTCTTTTATACCCTTTCCCCCAACATTTCATAAGACACATCCTTATGCCTTCATCCTGAAAACCAGACATTACATACTCACGTGTACCCGTGAATCTTCTGCCATCTGCTATTTTCAGTTCCTTTTTTCTTATTGTGTCTTCATGTTCTCTCTTAAAATAATGCCTGAATTGATAGCTTAGCAAATGTGTATTATTATTTGTGCAAGCACAAGTCTGGTTAACATTAGAAGATCCTTTGGCTGACTCTTTTCCTTATAATACTTTATCTGGGGCCTATTACAACCTTGAATCTTTTACCAACTTATAGGAAGGTCAGACCCCTATAGGTTTCCCCTCACAGTGCATTCGTGAGCAAAGTGCATGCACAGAAGTCTGGGAGCATGCACCGAAGGTGTGTGTGGACCCACGAACCCGTGGTAGCAAAATGTGAAACCCACCACTGGTCAAGAGGTTAGGGGCCTCCCCTAACTCAGGAAGCCAGGTATTGCTGGAGGTGAGGTGGAGATGCATGAGTATTCACAAAGATGCTGAGAAGGCATGCCAATTTTCAAATAAATTCAAATAAATCATAACTCACATATGGTACCTATCTGAGCTCCTTCCTATGGAAACATAACTAAGAACATTTGATTAGTAATTGCAAGAGTTTTATTTAGGTAAATGTTTTAACAGTAGCTAGAATTATATTTGCAAAAATTTGAAAAAATGAGAAAATACCAATGCAGGAGGAAGTTATTCAAAAAATAATGCAATGTGCTGAAATGAATAAATTGACATTTGAAATTAGAGAAGAAGATGATGTACAATTTTATAAGGTGTGGAATTTGTTTTATCAATGGCTAGATAAAAAACATGGAAATGAAAAACGTGGAAATGAAAAACGTTGGAGAAGTTTTACATATTGTAAGAATAATAAAATAAGATAGGTGATACTATAAAGATATAATTATTAAATAGACTAACAATGATGTAATGGAATATCGTCCTATACATGAATTGAATATCTAGAACATTTTGTTTAAAATGAAGGAATTATAATTATAGTCGAACATATTATGTATAATGATTACAATGTACCTATATATACTTGATGGATAATTTGTGATTCTATATATAATTGAAAGGTGATGCATAAATATAAAATATTGGAGAATTCTTTCATATTGCAAAAATAATATAATGAGGTAGGTGATTCTATAAAGACATATTGTTATTAAATAGACAAATAAGGATGCAATGGAATATTGGTATATACTGTATGTGAATCTAGTTTCTAGAATATTTGCTTAAAACGAAAGAATATCAATTGTAACTGAACAATATGATTTACAATGTCAATAATGTATCTATGTATGCTTGATGGATAATCAGTGAGCCTATACACAATTGAAAGTGGCGATGCACAAATGCTTGTAATCTAACGACATGCTATATGTAATTGATGAGGGTTTTAGGTTACATGTACTGTTTTGTCTTTGTTTGTTTAAAAATAAAAAACTTTTAAAAAATTGTGACATGTCTTGGGGGTGGTAAAGATATTTTGGTTCCTTTAATATAATTTAGACGTGTTTGGTTGTTGTTGTTAGTTGTGAAGTCGTGTC